GTTCGTTGATTGATTCAACAAAAAATGGCAGAACAGCTTCGCTGAAAGAGACGCGTACGTAGAAGACGACAAAGATTATGCTTCACTTTAATGACGACGTGTCATCAGTGAAGGAACCCCTGCCACGGTGAACGCGGAACGCTCGCGGCACCACAGAACAAGCGCTGAGTCGACCAAAGCACAGGTCAACGTATGGAGGTAATCCGAGGTTTTTCTCGCCGTTATCTCTGCCACACAGAAAGCTGCTAGAAATGCTGAACTCACAAACAGCAGAAATGTTCCACACACTCACAAACAACACTTCTCTTCCCCTGAGTCGCCCAAAAATTCTACGTGACCGCCCACCGTCGACGAACGCCAAGCACCCGCGCACGTCACAGAACGGCAGACGTTCCATGTATCCAAGAACGACCGCTACTGCTTCGACCACACCGGTCCAAAGTTGAACCTCGACTGGCATTGCGACCCGGCCTTTCATTTTTTATACAGTTTCGTAACGAGAAAGGAGGTTCATGGAGAGAAAGACAGAGAGATACGAGACACGTCTGCGAGACGAGTATACACACTATAGAGTCGGGGGGGGGGGGGGAAGACCCTATGGCAGGGAGGAACGAGGACCCTAGAGAAGGCCCGCCGTCGAGACTCGAGGGTCTCTTAGGTCCCGACGTCGTCGTCGAAGAGACGGCGACGGCGACGTCGGAGAGGCCCATACAGAGTCCCGCCGAAGCACGCGCGGGAACCACTCCGGCGCTGAACTCACCTTGGAGTGCGCGCAGCGCGAGGCGACGCCGTGCAGCACCGGCCTTCCACGAGAGGTGCTCTTTACCCCTCCCCACCCAATGTCCTTCCCCCCACCAATGCCTCTATACTGGAGGCCTTCAAGCCGCGACGGAACTTGAAGAGCACATCCCGAGAACGAGTGTCTGAGAGCGAGGGCTTCGAGAGAGAGAGGGTGAGGATGAAAAAAAAAATAACAGAACGGAGACTCTAGAAGGTCCTTGTGCACAGCGACGGCCCGAGCACCTCTCCAGTACATCCCTGCACAGGATATTGAAGAACGAAGCGGGAGAGATCTGTCTCTCTCTAGGTCGCACGTTGTGGGCCATGGTGGGAGCCAAAGTGGTGTGGATAAGGTGATTCGTGTAGACGACGCGACGTAAAGCATGACACATAGAGTAACGACGCCTGCTGAAGGAGAAGGCGAGCGCGAGGTTGTAGCTTGGGAGATCCTTTTTCAATGACGAAGAGCAAAGGATGGACCACGCTAGCGGATACTTGATGAAGGGGATATTGGAAAGCGTGACGGGACGGAGTGGCGCTGTCTGTTCAGGTCATCCCCTCATTAACGAGTGTACTTTACGCACAAACATGCAGGAAGTGAGTGAAAGCGCACATGTACGGTGCCCGGACGTCGTTCTTCGATGAGTTTGCAGCAAGACACGTTGTCACGTTTGTTTACATCACCATTTTTATGTCCGACTCGCTTCGGAATCGTGGTGCACCACATAGACAGACAAGACGATACGGGCACCTAAAAACATAGGAACCGACCGGATAAAATCACTCACGCACATTTGTGTGTACCCCCTATCCTCGCCATGAAGAAGAAAGGAGAAATATTTAGTTTATTGGTATAGGGTACCCAAGGCAAGAACTATGAACTTTAACTGAGATATTGAGTGCACCACGAAAGTGAGCAAAAGGCTATGTAGTATATTCAGATGAAGTAATTCATCCAACATTTCTTTTGTACACTGTACTAATACTTTTGAGTTCATCTGTGGATTCACAAGCAAAAATAAAGAAACGAAGATGCCTGGTCGTGTACGCAATACTAGTTTTCGGGAAAAAAGGCAGAATAGAATCTTGGTTTAGTATTCCTGTAGCCCCCAAAGTGTATCCGTGACCAATGTAATGCCGTTGTTCGACATGCATATAGTAATTCGTTTTCGGTGATACAGCATAGAAAATGCAAAAGGCTGAACATGGCTGTACATAAAGACAGAAAATTTGACAATAAACGCTAATAAATCACACACATTTTTCGTCATCTAAACTAGCCGGTGGCGTTTTGACATTTCGGAAATACCACTTGAGTTAGTAAACGATAAAAGCCAGAAAGAAACGCAGCGTATATATTCTTCTGCGTGGACTATAGCAAAATATTTATTCTGCTGACACGACCTCACATTTCGTCTCGTGTCTGCTTTCAAACATTTCTACTTGACGGCAAAGCACGTATCAGGAGCTGCTTCAGTGAGACTGAATACTCCTATACACCCCCCGCATGTACACGGTTTCCGCCCAAATAAAAACAGCGCTACCAGCTATGGAGTGTGCTTCAGTAAGGATCTATTTCCTTTCTCGCAGCTAAGCTAAGGCAGATTCGATTACGAGTAACCATTTCTGTCTAAATTATTTCTGTTTGTTACTGGTGTCAGCAACTCTCGTGAGGCATGACGGCATCATCAAGGTTTTCTGCCTTAAAGGGGCCCTGAAACGCTTTTTCAAGTAACCACGGAATGAATTCACTGGAAAAGCTTATTGCCTCACGAAATCAACGCCGCAAAATTTTAAGAATCCGTACAGTGCGAGTGGAGTTACAAAAGTTTGTCGCATGCTGCAATTGCATTCTCTCTTCTCTCGTCCTGACGAAAGCGCTGGAAGCTAAGCAGGAAGGGATGGCAGGGCCGGAGAAGACGCGCCTCGTGTCCTTGAGCACTTTTTATCTTTTTTTTTTCGAATGCGCTGCTTTTTTTTGTGTGTGTGTGTGTTATCGCGCGTGCACGCGTGGACAAGTCGCGGCCTCCCGCGGTGATCTATGTAACGAGTGAGCGTGCCATGTTCAAATCAGCCAATTGCTCATAGATGAGTAAGTCACGTGCGATTTTGGGGCATATTCCACCATTTGTCGAGAAAAGAGAAAGCAATTTTTAGCTGACTTTGATAACTCATTGTGAATGACAGGCCACGTGCTGCGCTATATTATTTGGCTCGCGGGCTGTCGGGAGCCTCTACTACCGATCGGCAGCGTTTTCTGACAATGCTCAAAAAATGTTCCAGGGCCCCTTCAAATCAGCGAGACAAATGTATGTATTCACGGAAAAACTACTTTTTTTAACATGACATAATTGTGGACCACCTTCCCAAAGAGAACCCTGATGAGATGCAAAGCTGCAGCGTGGTGCGCACGGTGGTTACCCGTTTGAAACGGGCGTCGACGTGGGTGCTGGAAGATCGAATTAAAGTGAAACTCTGTGTAGCTTTTACTCGAGTAAATGTTTGTTTGAAACGCAAAAAGACGGGAGGGGGGTTGGGTTTCGTGTACGTTTTATCGCACATGAATGAGCCGAAAGAGTGTTTCCACTCGACAATGCGGTCAAGCGTAGCGGGCGGTGGAGAGGGTGGAGCGAGAAAGACTGTTGCGAGCGGGCAGTGAAGCTGGCAGCTGTGGGCGCTACGGCGAACTCGAGAAGGGAGCGTGACGACAACGCGCAGTTGCGGCATGACCTACTTGGCACCGCTGCAACGCCTGTGGCGAGGAGAACGCGTTGCGGCGCGTTCGTACGGACACACGTACGTACGGCGATAAACACGGGAATCAAAGAGCTACTTGGCATTTAAAAGTGCTTGCTGTTACGGCAATGATAGAACGCAGTGATGGCGCACGTGCTTCCTTTATACTCAGTAAGGAGCGACTATAGTTCGCTGCAGATGCGCGCTCAAGGTTTCCCTTCAGGGGAGGGGGGGGGGGCAATGATTTGGCGCAACGTTTCCCTTCTCTAATAAGCCAATGTACGGGGCAGACTTTGCGCCGCCCTCCTTAGGTAGATAGGGGGGGTAACTACCCATGCTGCCCCCCTCGTGCGCACGCCTATGCTCACTGTAGTTCCGCACCAACGGACCTCATCATTCGATGACGGTGTGCATGTAGTAATGCTCAGTACGCGAAAAAAAATCTGTTGCGCTTGACGGTGCTCTTGGCATTTGTTTGTTTAAAGGTCTGCGGTTATAGATCACATGTTTGTGCGTGTTCGTCGAAACATGTACCCTGCGTTTGCTTGTCAGTTGTCGATCTCGAGTTCATGCACACGTTACGTGTGTGCAGTAAAGCCTCGCGAAGCTACGCAGATTTTGAAATTTTCTGCTTTTGATAGCACGGGGTATTTTATAAGGTACCCCTCCCATTGCTGTTCAATGGCTGTTCTATCTATCTATCTATCTATCTATCTATCTATCTATCTATCTATCTATCTATCTATCTATCTATCTATCTATCGTCACTGTTACTCCAGAACAGCCATGGAAGGTATACTATATAATCTTCCTCCTTTCTAAACAAAATCGATTTCCTCCTAGATAGAAATAGTGCTATCTCCAAGCAAATGACCAAGAAGGCACTATTACAAAACAACATATAATTTTTTATGTGAAAGTTTCTTTCTGCTCGTGTATGATGTATTTTATGTTTTTATTGGTGCAAATATTACGCCGTGTGACTGTTTCGTAAACGTATATATTGGTTTTTCCCAAGCAGCTCCGTTTTTTGCACTAATACGTTGAACACTACATTTCTTGGGTACATATGATCACGATTAACAATGCTTTATTGTCACTGAATGCGCTATACTATTTTGCACAAGTTCCTTTTTTTCATCTCACTTCTCATTCTTTGCTAAGTGCTTACGATGGCCTGCGTGTCTCACTGAATTTGGAGCAAAGGCCCCTTTTCAGGCTCTTAAACTATTTGCCTTCACTTCGTTTTCTGTTCATGTATAGCAATAAAAATAAATAAATAAATAAAAATAAAGAGTCGCCCGAACGACAACATGCATGCAACAATATCTGTTTACGCGGTTCATTTCATTACATACCCTATTCGTCTTGCCTGTTGACTCCTTTCGCATATTCTCGATTTCTGCAATTTTGCGAACTTGCCGAATGCGCGAGGTTCATTATGATTCTGAACCTTCTGTCCATTATTCTGCCGCTATCTGCAGTCTCGCGACTCATGGGTGGTCCGGCGGGTGCCGGCGCCGGAGCGCAGCTGGGCCCGGCGCTGAGCGCGGCCTGCGGAGGTCCCGGCTCGGGCGCAGATTCTATGGGCAAATCGGCCGCGGCTGCGGCTGCTGCCGCTGCATGTGCCGCCGCGGCAGCGGCCGCAGGTATGCAGTTTCCCCTGGGCCAGCGACGAAAGAGGCGCGTGCTGTTCACGCAGGTAAGTTCCAACTCTACGAAATCCTGCCACTTAATTTGCGAACGCTAATGTATACACCTCAAGAAAGATGGAGTATTTGTGAACTATTCCTGCTACGTAATGATGATCTTCAATGTCAGAGCACTTAAAGAGCACCGGGTGATCGAAATTTATGGAGCTTTCCACTGCCGTGATCCTCATAATCATATCGCGATTCTCGGACTTGAAACAACAGATATTGTTGTCATATGCAATAAATGTCATCCGGCTCGCTCGCGCTTGCTTTGTGGAAACCCGGCACTCGCCCCTTTCCTATCAGGAATGTGACCTCACGCTAACAGCACGCACGTCGTTAGCGACTGGTAAGTGCTGCGTCCACGGTTAAGAGGCAAAAAATGTACGCCACGTAGACAATCATCGTCGTGTTTTACAAAAAGTACTCCTCGAATAATCGCTTTTTTACTTAACGAGCATCGGAAACGGTGTTAACTAATGAAGTCAACGCTCTCAGAACAGAGTGAGCATCAAAAGTCTATGTTTCTTCTATAACGGCAAATGCAATCGATCTCGCCTTTTATTATTTATTTACTGTAGTGATAAGTATGCACCTGAATAAATCAGCTGACGTTGTTTATTTTTTCTTATAACAACAATTTCGCGGCACGCTTGTCATTTCCAGTTCATGAACGGATGCATAATGTCAGTGAGCATTCCTGGTAGGAAAGTAGCGAGCACCGATTATTCAAGAACGAAGTGCAAAGAAGCCGAATTGGTGAATGTTGTTGTGGGATAAAGGGATGCCTTCATAAATGCGAAGTATTTCTTTGCGGACTGGAAGCATTTTAAGCATCTATCTATCTATCTATCTGTCTATCTATCTATCTATCTATCTATCTATCTATCTATCTATCTATCTATCTATCTATCTATCTATCTATCTATCTATCTATCTATCTATCTATCTATCTATCTATCTATCTATCTACCTGTCTGTCTGTCTGTCTGTCTGTATGCCTGTCTATCTATCTATCTATCTATCTATCTATCTATCTATCTATCTATCTATCTATCTATCTATCTATCTGTCTATTTATCTATCTATCTATCTATCTATCTATCTATCTATCTATCTATCTATCTATCTATCTATCTATCTATCTATCTATCTATCTATCTATCTATCTATCTATCTGTCTGTCTGTCTGTCTGTCTGTATGCCTGTCTATCTATCTATCTATCTACCTATCTATCTATCTATCTATCTATCTATCTATCTATCTATCTATCTATCTATCTATCTATCTATCTATCTATCTATCTATCTATCTATCTATATCTATCTATCTATCTATCTATCTATCTGTCTGTCTGTCTGTCTATCTATCTATCTATCTATCTATCTATCTATCTATCTATCTATCTATCTATCTATCTATCTGTCTGTCTATCTATCTATCTATCTAGCCGCCTACGTCTGGATGGTAATTCATGGAGGGTGGTTATTCCTTTGTACACATTTTTCAAAGCATAAAGTTTGCTATTTATATGCCCTAGAGAGAACTCGGGTGGTATAGTGCCTATGGGAGCTGCAATGCACGGTGGTTGAGCGAGCATGATAAGTATGGGTAGTACATGGATTTGCGTAGTCTTCGTGCCATACGTGCTTTTTCGCTTCGCGTGGCTTGAAGCTGCCTTGTCACGAAACAACAAATTTTCAGCTGTTGCGCTTCACCACCTTAGTATTTTAGGCTTACCATTTCAAATCGGGTTCCGGAGCTCAGAACGGTTAGTTTTTTTTTCCTTCGAAACAAAAGCGAAAACAAGATATAAACGAAGCCACAAGTGCGATTCCCCACCCGTAAGAACGAAGACTAGGCAAATCCGTGTACTACCTGTCAATCCCATGGTCGCTGAACGATCACAGCGCCAGAGTCCCCTGTAGATAATTTTGGGAAACTCGATGGTTGAAAGAATATGATATGCAGCAGCCACGGGGACGCAGGTGAGGTCGCCTATAAGCATATACGCTCAACCTTACGCAGGCCCAAGTTTACGAGCTGGAGCGACGGTTCAAGCAGCAGAAGTACCTTTCAGCGCCGGAGAGGGAGCACCTGGCCAGCCTCATACACCTAACGCCTACACAGGTATGCAATCTTTACGCAAGCTAACGGTGGTGAAGCAGTTTGCTGTCACGTATACTGGAGGGATGACATTGGTGCAAATGAAGAGATGTGGTAATGGTTCTTGATCGTATAATAGGTGAATCTAGTGGTTTCCCAACACCTTCCAGGCTGTAATAAATGCGAAACACCAGAAAATGTAGATGCTGCATTTTCGCGTTTCTTTTTTTTGAATCCACACTGTGCATGTTTGTGTGTGAGCGCACTAGATATACACCTTTTCAAACTTTCATACTTTTGATGAGAGGACTCCCAGTGTTAATGTAATTATGAATTGTGGCTGGAAAATGGCAGGCTTTGGAAATTAAAAATTAAAAAAGGATTTCACCTTTGCAGGCCATCCGCAGTGACATAGACGAAAAAAAAGAAGGGCGACGTTATATGAATACGTTGAGTAGACGTTCATCCAATGAACCGAGAAAACTAGGCAGCAGCATATTGGTATAGTATATTTTAGAAAAGCGCACCAATAAGTAGAAACCATAGCGCCAATGCTTGAGAAAAGCTGTGTGCTACCGATAACACTGGCGTGAGCGCGATAGCGAATTTACATAAACTGTTATAGGTAAAAAAAAAGTGCTAGCTTTAAAAAAAGGCGCAATAGTGCTCAGCATATTCAATGAACCGTGATTCATAAACTCATCAACAATGCTGAACATCACATACCCGTGGCCTTTTTAATGTGCACTCGCGAGCAGAAGTACACAGACCACAGGGGAACGTGTCCGAATCTGCCGTTGGCGCCGTCCAGTGGTGGGCTGTCTGCTGTCGAGATTATTGATCTGGCGCAATTTCTGTTGAGAGCATTGCTCTGACTAGATTCGTCAAAGAAATGGTCTCTACCGGAGACGGCTTGCAACTAGACGGCTGTAACAGCAACATTATACGGATGAGAATGGTCCGCTCACTTTTGCTCTCGCGTGTGTGAATCTTTGTGTCCAGCCTTGCAAACAAAAGGGCATCTTACTGCCACATAACAATCTTTTTTTTAATGCTGTAAGCGTATTGAAACGCCAGTTGCTCTCTGCGCAGGTGAAGATCTGGTTCCAGAACCACCGCTACAAATGCAAGCGGCAGGCCAAGGAGAAGGCCATGGCCGAGCAGCAGCTGCAGCAGCACGGCGCCAGCAGCGTCGGCACAGGCGGGGCGTCAGCCACGCACCAGGGATCGCACTCGCCTAGAAAGGTACCACATTACCCTCTTGCCGCCATATAGTTTGCAGGTCATCAGTAGATTATCCAAACTGCAGGTAATTCTTTTCTCTAGATGATAGATTGCGAATATTTCATATTCGCACCAATTGTGTCGATTTATCTACTCATCCGCTTCGAAATTGTCCATGTGTCTACGATTGCTCCGTCTGTAAGCGCTTTATAGGCATTTCAAAAATACCATTACTACAACTCAGTGTTGGCAGTAACGCGTTACAAGTAACGCCGTCACCGGTAACGCGTTAGTTTCTTCGGTAAGTTAGTAACGTACTCATTGCAATTTCGGAACTGTAACGAGTAACTTATACTTATACTTACATTAACAATTCGCAGTAACGTGTGGTGTCTCGTTACTCGTTAGTTTTTCATATTGTAGGGTACCACTTTCCCAGAGCTCGCCCGATCGGATTCTTTCGACGCAGCGTCGTATACAGCTGCTGGCTTGCCAGGCATGATGGGCAAAGAATGCGCGGGTGGAAATAGTGTTGCCCGTGGAAATCGCGGGTAGAAATTTTCCAACACTCGCTGACTCTCTGTGGCCAAGCATGGGCCATCGCCCCACAAAGCTTGAAGAAAGCCGCAGAATCTACTTATACTGTACGGACATGCTTTTCGTGAAAGTGTACTGTAGTAGGTGGATTGCTGGCACATTGCCTTCATGTGCGCAGATGACGGGCTGCCCGAAGGGAAAGCTCATGGGCATGTTTACTCCGTACCACGAGTTCATTGAGGGTGGGGGAGAGGGAGCAAAATAACTTTCCTAAGAGTATGCGTCAACATAAAAACGACGTTCGCAAGTTCCAGTGAAAAAAAAAAAAAAGAGCCCTCTCACTGAGCACAGAGGAATAAACGATCATGGCATCGAATTTGAACAGTTCCGCGTCAACGAGATCAACTAGTATAAGCGGCTTTTTGTGGAATTCTGGCTCAGCCAGGAGGAGACAGCTTCTAACTTCAACCGGTTTTCAGGTGTTTTGTCGGTCGAGAGTCTGCATTAAAGGAATTTTGCGCATCATGAAGAATACGTGTAACCCCAGCCAGGTAGAAAAGACTTAAAAATAATGCGAGTGGGATGTGAAACCTCGAACTTTATTCTTGTAGCGCAAAAAAAAAAAGATAATTATACTCGCTGCCTGCTTAATTGGCCTGTCTCAACTAAAGCCCATTAATGCCACTGTCTTAAGAATACTACGGCTAACCGCGATAATTGATACACAGCACATATAACACAAATTGGCCTTCATGATTATTTCAAACGGGTGATTTCCAAGAGAGATCGACAAGGATCCGAAAATTTACACTTTAGACTTGATTGAATAATTTATATTTTATGCACGTACCACACAGTAGCCCGAAAAAGAACTTAGTTTCTATAGTACCCCATCAAAGAGGCAAGAAATATGGAACATATTCAATACACCAGGACCAATTTTATTACACACGAATATTACCACACGAATCTTACCATTGTTTGCGCACTAACAAGTAAATTAACATTGTCTGGAACTTGTAGAGCGAAGAGAAGTGCTATTAATTTTTTAATATGCGAAACATTATCATAGTTTTTTACGAATAAGATAATCTCTGCAGCCACTTGGCTGGAAAGTATATTTTCTTCGTATGAATTTTCATCCAGCCAGACAGATCTCTGTGGAATATGTTCGCATTATAGTTTCTACAGAACAGTTGCTAAAAATTTGATTAGTGACTTATCAATATTTTCCTGAAAATTAATTTTGCTTTTTCGCTCTGCAATGGCAGCTACGTTTCTGGTTATAGAACTCCTGAGCGACCGTGACATAAACGTTCGCAAATTTTTGCGGTAAATATACAGGTTAGAGTGAAGAAAAAATGTTTATGCTCAGATACTTTTTTTTCCTGTGACTATAGGTTGTCGAAGCATTTCTTCATTACTACGTATTTTCGCATCTATTTTGCGAGTACAAACCCGCCGTCGAAATGAACCTTTCTCTCGTAGGTATAGCGTGCGTATGTGCATGGCGTTTGTTGGCCAAAACGCGACGCAAGGTGCGGGCAGAGGGGTCATAAACGTACAAATAACTCTCCCCCCTCCCCCTTCCCGAAAGGAAAAAAGCACCAATTCAGGCTTCCGGGATTGCCTTTACCGGCGCACGGCGGGTAATTCAGGAGTCCAATGGCTGCCAGTTTTGATTTCGACGATCTCCACTGGAGGTCCTGTTCGGACGAGTAAAGGCCCGTCACTGCGAATTTTCTTGAGAATCCGGCGATGCTTTCTTTGCGGATAGAGTGCACATCACTGTATATCACATCGTTTATAATGTCAGATTGAGAAAAAAACTTAACCATGTGCCACAGAGTCAGATGCCATCGTGTGTAACTCTACAGTCATCCCTCTACATTATCGAGCAGATTAGAGAGAGAGAGAGAATTTATTTACAGAAAGGTAGAGAGGTCGGCCTGAGCTATAGTTTGCTCTTGCCTGCTACTCTACACTGGGGAAGGGTGACTGGGGAGTGAAAGAGTGATGAATGACGATGGTAAGGTAGAGAGATATGTTCTCATTAGGCTGGGTAACTCTACAGACGTGCATCCAGTCCAGTGGCTTCTAAGAAAGCGATGACGGCTCGTATAACCACATGTGTGCTGCTGGCGTCAGGCCAAGGACCTAACACAACCTCATCGGTTAATGGTCGACTAATATATCGGCCAATCGAAGATATCAGTTGCTGACGTTCGCTTGCATATGGTGGACAGTCGCAAAATATATGTTCGAGCGTTTCTGGCAACCGACAGTGACCACAATTGGGACCTGTGTCATTACAGCCAATCAAGTGGGTGTAACGTCTCGTGTAAGCCACACCGAGGCGAATGCGGTGGATAATGCATGAGATGTTTTGCTTTAACTTGTTAGGCATACGGAACTTCATTTCCGGGTCCCAATTTGTGCAGCCGCTTGTGCTGGTGTTCTGGTTTCTGCCAGTGCTCTAAGATGGAGTTGCGCATTGCGCGTCCAATGCGCAACTCCATGCTCGACCTATCGCTTGTTCTTCCTCAGTTCATATACAGATAACCGGTTTTTATTCAACGTGTCCGTGTTTCTCCAGGTAGCTGTTCCGGTTCTGGTGAAAGACGGCAAGCCGTGCGGCAATTCTTCGGGAGAAGAGGACGCCGTCGGCGACCTGCTCTCCTCAACCGGCTCCTCGGTCGGAGGTGTGGGCGCCTCGCACCACCAGTCCTCATCTTCCTCGCAGAGGAGCGGCAACGGCATAGGATCAGGAGGGCTCCACCATCACCAGCACCACCACCACAGGTCGTGCCTGGTGGACAGCTCTCCCGGAGCGAGGGTCATGTGCGGGGGGCCTCCCAGTAGTTCCAGCCCTCTGGGCATCAACGGTGAGTTTCCGCACGCGCATGCACCGTAAGTGACGAATAATCCAAGCAGGCACGAAGCTAAACAATCAATCAACTTTATTTTTGTCTATAATAAAAGAAAACAAAGTAGCAGCGAATAAAATGCTCTCTTCCGACAGCTTGACGAGCCCACCGCCCTAATAGCAAGAGCTCACGGCCGCACAGCGACAGTTAAATTTAAATACAAATAAAAAGAAGAAAAAGGTATAACATTGTAAAAAATGGTACACCACTAGAAATTATGGGCTTGAGCAAGAGCAGAGCAACAAGCGGAAAAAATGAATAAGCACGTATTAGTAATTTCTGTCGTTCACAAATTTCAAGCGTAACTTGCTTAATGCACAACACAACAGATTAAAAATGGTTTATGCATAATTATTGAGAAGAGAAGGCAAGGTATGACACGAGCATAGATGTGCTTAAATCAGACATGTATGTCCCATCGGATGTTTGCAGCATCGTTAAAGGTTGACTTGCGAAGCTGGCTTGCCTGTGCCGTTTCACTAAATGTCTCACAGTGGGTCACGGTGACGAGTACTTGAATAGCTATGGATATGCACTATAGGCAAACTTTGTAGATCAAGGCTGGGAGACTAACAAGACAGCAATGTCACGTTTTCTGACCTGTTACTGGGAATGTCGAATGAGGTACAAAAATATGTGAGTGACAAAGTCACCAACTTGTGGAAACAGAAGGCTCAAAACGAACATTTTTGGTCGGGTGACTAAGCTGATGTTACGGACATGATGTCCGAGCTTCTCTGTCTCTTCGTCCTTCACGCGGACTCGAACCACACCGTCTGCTACATTGGCAAATAAAGTGGAATGACTCTTAAAGATATGTCTCAAAAGCGATTCCAACTTCTGCCGCTACAAGGAAGCACAACAAGGCGTTAACTTTTTGTCGGGCACATTCGTTCGCTACAGTCCTCCCCATCTGAAACCTGTGGACTGATCAGTATCTGGTATCGTGTATAACGCCATTGTATAATACATAGCGCGTTAACGGCTTATGCTTTACTTGGATAACTCCGATAACCACTGTCATGCAGTACGTCTCGTACTTGTAAATACGTTGGTTCGTCCATACGAAAGTTGCTTACTGATTTGCTATGCAGGTATGGCATCGTACGGCCAAGCGGTCGACCTGAACCCAGGCAGCATGGTAGGCAACGCCGGAGCTGCCGGAGCCGGAGGCATGCCGGGAGCCACGATGCCCTCCATGTGCCCGTCGTACCTGCAGCTGCAGGGCAGGACCTGGTGACTGGACCTATGGGACGCCTCGTGACCCCAGCGGGCCCACGAGGCGTCCCCGGCGACCGTCAAAAGAGAGGTCGCCACCGACGATGACGACTGCAACTTCAGTGAGGATGAAGAAGAGGAAGACGATGACGAAGACGAAGAACAGGACTTCACTGCAGCGTCTGGAACGAGACCCCTGTCACTCAGACAGGGAGCGCCGGAAGGACTGCCGCAGGATGAAGACCTCTGCGACATTGTGCTCTGAAGACTTGCGATGCGGAGATGATTTTGACACAATGTAGACAGGATAAGCATCGCGGGAGGTCGTCGTTGTCTTCTCGTTTAAGATATTATTGCCATAATAGGGGCGAGAAGTGGCACGCCGGCAAAGACGTTTGGGTAGCTAGATGGAAACGAGAAATCAGCATGTGGACAACAAGACATCCAAACACCAGTGGAAACTGCGATGCTTACTTCAGCTGTGCCAGCTAGAAGAAGCTGTTAGTGTGAATTTGTAGCCACGATAATGCACTCAGCCAATATATAAAGTATTTCGGACCACCTTTGAGCAGAAGTACGTGGTGCCGAACATCAATGGACTTTGCGCATCTTGCGAACATCACACGTCACTGATAAGTTTGCGGCTACCCATTCATTCAAGTGCCGACACCTACATAACGCGGTGACGAAAGCAACAAGCAACAGTGTAATGACGTTCCTTGACAATGGCAGACTGTAACTGTACCTGTGTGTGATGCGTGTGTGCTTGAACTCGGCGTAGTGGATCTTCAGTCGCCGCAAACTTTCACAATGCCGCTGAGGGCCTGATTTCTCAGCTCTACGTGTTTCTCGTCAACCAAGAAGCAGCGAAAGAGGTGCTCGAACATCCATGCCGAATGGCAGTGCCAAAGTTCTTTTCTTTTTTCGTTTCCTTCGCCCACCCATGCTTCGGACAGGCTAACTGAACGTCGCACCAACGGTGATCAGCGATGTGTGATAATCATCAACCGTACCTTCTCACCAATAGCTTCAGAGCATTGGGACTCCGGGGCTGATGAAATCAACCATTCCCCATTGGTGAACTTTTCGCGTTATATAGTTTACAACTCGTGTACGCATCATGCAGTTTTAAACTTAGAAAGTATTCGTGAGATAGGCGATAACATCTGACACTGATGGCAGAACCTAAGTGGACGTTCATTTTGTGTGTGTGTGTGTGTGTGTGTGTGTGTGTGTGTGTGTGTGTGTGTTAGTGTGTGTTAGTGTGTGTGTCAGTGAACAAGTGCTACGACGATAGGCTTTCAGCTCTCAATCTAGGACAAACAATACCGCACATCTGAAAGCGAGTAAATTCTTTATTAATTTTCGTTTCGATGACAAGCTCAGTGGACTAAGAGACCTGCGCACTGTTATACGCAGCGGTATGAATTATGACGACGTAATGCGAGGTACCAAGATTAGGCGTCAAATGACCATATTCCGTAATGTCGTACTATAAAGACATTGTACAGAACAGACCGAGGTGAGTGGTATTCTGCGGAATTTCATGAGATTAAAAATATATTTTAATTACCAGACACACATTTTTTGCATTAAATTTGTTTCACACTTCCAGAAAATTTTGTGACTATTTCGTGCTACGCGGAAGGCTTTAGCACTGTCTGACTGAGCTTAGTTTGTTGTACTGGTCACAGAGAACCATTTCTTTTATTTTCAAGTTAGCAGATTTTGTAGCCTTAAGTTAAATTACCCGAATGGTCATACTATTATGAATGTTTTGGTGCCGAGGTGAAATTTTAGAAAAAGGAACGCTGCGGCTCTTATTTCCTTGCTAATGACAAATATTTCAGCTGTATAAATGTACACTACTGAGGCAGTAATCTCGCAGGCCATGCTCATTATTTTTCACAGTTAACGCCAAGTGTGTGCAGCCAGTTCTTTGCGCAGAATATCAGCGATTGGTCATAAACGACGTACTCGCACACCTGGACTTGCGTGTGTATGTGTGTGCGTGTGTGCGTGTCCATGTTCTTTACGACAATATCTGCTTCGTTAGATAGAGTCGTCGATAGCCACTGTATACATATACGGCATTGGACCGACCTCCGGGCGGACTCTCGGTACTTCAGCGCGGTGTCGTTGATTTTTCTGGACAACAATCTAGCGATGCTCTAAGTGAGTGCATCACCTGTTCGATGTATGTCACGTAGATGGATAAATCATTGTACATACACCTGTAGTAGTTCGCTGACAATACATACCAATTATGCTGTGTACGATGACGTGTCTGTTTCTCTCTCTTTAGTAATTCTGTTACGATTATGACAATGATGGTAAGCAAATGTTAAGTACTAAACAGCGCTAGCGTGAGGTAGGACTAACACTTACACTTAGCCTCTCCAGTGAACTATCTGGATAAATGAAGAGAACTGTTGGTTCAGAAAAACGTAAAGGAAGAGGGGTCATGAGATAGATGGTTAGTGAAAAATTCCCATACTGCATGACAAATGCCAACAAGACTTAAATCAACGATGCGTTGATCACTTCAGAAAGTTGAGCCATCGACGTGTACTCGCCTCAAATAGCTATAGTCAAGTTCTGAGTGACAGTGAGGTGCGTCAATAGAGAGACATGACAAGTGCGGCTTCAGGGTGGGTGAGACATTATTGGGCCCTTTGTGACGTCAGCCGTGGTGCTTGAAGCACTTTTTCCTCCTAAGAGAGTCAGGAGGAAGCCAATTAGAGCGGTCTATCAAACGTTACGCAACGTCGTGCATTCGCAGGAGTGGAAGCAAGCAATGTGTACAATAAGCAGGGCGTACATTTGTTTGCAGAGGACGAGCGAAGCTCTTCATCCGTTACGGGGAGTTGGGTAAACCACTCGGTATAAGCGTGCGACGTCCAACTTCGTAAGTGCCTCGATTGTGTATAAGGCCATCCACCTTGACTGGCTCCGGCAATTTCCTCCCTACTGAAGGCGCACGTGTAAACAATGCGCGATTCGGAGAGCCTGGGATGCTCTCTTAAAGGATCCACCGTCCATCAAACGTAGGGCGAGAACGGACAATTCTCTTATTGATTCCAATAACAATACTTGCTTGCGGGCGTACGTGCATGGTAGTCAAAACAAATAAGAACAGAGGAGCAGCCCGTTTATTGGACACGTCCCTCTCTAAGTAAGCGATTACGTCCCAAACCATACGAGACACCGGTGGCAGATAAAATGACGCGATAGTAATGTGGGGAGGATGTCAATGTTATCACTGGAACGAAATGGGAGATACCTGTAATCGAAAGACTGGCGGGGACAAAGACCGGCAAACAGGAGACCCAGAGAGCGTTATAACCAATGCATCGAAACGCAAGTCATGGGAGGCTACAGCACGATCAAAGACGCTTATAAACAAAGAACCACTCGTTGTATAGAAATAGGCGACCGCATCGTCATCGCAATCAACCCGATACATCGCAGCTGCGCACCGAGTCGATCCAAGGCGAGCCAATCCTGTCGATAGGGGGCGTTCGGAATGTCATGAACGGCAGGGCACGCCGGCGCAAATGTTGACCCAACGGCCGGTCGTCGTCGCCGGCAAGGAAAGACTTTCCTCGCATGGCGCGGTGGAAGCGCCTGGGCTTTCCTGTTCTCGTTCCGTCGCTTTGCCGAGCCCTTCGCCCACTGGAGAGAAAGGCAGGAGAGAAGACGAACTCGGCAGCTTCAGCGTCGCCGTCGATTGAAAGCTTGTGCACGCCTGTGAACAGAGAGTGGAGAGAAGCTGGGAGAGCCAGGAAAGACTTTCCACAAACAAGGGGGCTTCTTTTTCCTTGTCAGCCGTTGCCGACTTCTCTTAGCACCGCTGCTTGCAGTGGCGGTGAGGGGAACGTACATGTAGTGTGGTGGTTTACATTACTTTTCTTTCTCGTTTTTTCTATCGATTTCAAAACACGTGTGACTAGGACGCGTGAGCACCGTGCGGGGGCTATCACGGACCTTTTTGCACACCGAGGGCAGCGACGCCATTAAATAAGGGGGCCTTTCTGAAAGCCATCGAGAAATGAGTACGATGCAGCCGTAGTAGCATGCAGGCGCATCGGTCGGAGATGTAAGTGCTTTGAATTTGGGCATGTTGGTGGGCCATCTGCGAAGTTAAAAAAAAGACAAAAGAAAACACTGACGCACCGTAGTAGTGCTGAATCATGTCGACAATGTCGACCAGTGTTTAATCAGCACTTGTCCTGCGTGCGTGCGTGCGTACATGTGTGTGTGTGTGTGTGTGTGTGTGTGTGTGTGTGTGTGTGTGTGTGTGTGTGTGTGTGTGTGTGTGTGTGTGTGTGTGTGTGTGTGTGTGTGTGTGTGTGTGTGTGTGTGACATCATCTTTAGCGCGGAATAACTTTGCAGAAGCTTCTTCAAAATTGTCGAATTGTTGTGAAACAGCTTCAGGAGCTGACATATTTGATGTCCACGGTAAAATTCACAGCAGCCTACAAGCCACTGCTAAGTCAAGCAGTGTAGCCTATCATGTCGATAGCGCTGATATTGAGGTATATACCGGCACTATTACGGGATTGTGTTTTTCTTGCATAAAAGCTTATCTGATTCTCGCTGAACTTCACGGTGGTTTATTGAAAAGAGCAACTCAAGGAGGCGTGCATCAAGGAGGCGTGCTAGGCACACTCGATGTAACAGAAACAGCCATTGATTCCCAGGATTTGGAGACCCAGGATTTGATGGTGTACAATATGTACGAGATGCCATCTCTCGGTGGTGGCAACGGTGCTTAGCCGTAACTGAATGGGAAATAGGCGAATAACAGTCATATTCTACGAGAAAAACGACAAGTTATCAAAAATGACTTCCTGTTCTATACAGCAGAAACTAACTGTAATATTAGTGGTAAAATCGTCTCACAGCACAACAAAGTCATTGACTTCTCACGACATAGGAGCACCACCTATAGAAACACGTGGAGTCCCACATGCAAGTTTGTAAATATTCTGGTAAACCACGCAGCTCTTACGGCGATACTCCAATTTCACCAGGAGCTTCCAATGGGTCTTTGCTGTGTATAACCAGTGTCGTTAGTGCAGACTATAGTTTTCTTTTTTTAAGCGCTTGCTGAACGCCCAGCCATCTTGAATTGATTGATGGCTGCGTTCCTACTTGTGAACATTGTCGATGAAAAAGCAAATATGACAAAAGCAAGCATGTCTGAGGTGCAAGACCAATGCGTAAGTATTAGGTGGTGTGTTTCTTTACGAGAAAATACA